AAATATGATAAATACAGAATATATAAATATTTATGTTTATATTTTATAATCATTTATATTCATTTTGTATGAAATATTAATGAAATAGATTATTTGATTATTCATATTTAATTATTTTTTTCTTTATATGTTATTTATCTATCGTATTTTTATATTTATTTCTCTGTTTATATTATTTATATCATTGTATTCTTCTTATTATCTATATATTATTATATTCTTCTTATTTTATTATTTTTATGTTTATATTATTTAGATTTTCTTATTGTTATTCTTTTCTATTTAGTTGTATTTTATTATTTGAATATTCATCTTTATCATTTTTATATTATTATCATTTATATCTATTTTCATTTTATATTTATTCTCTTTTGATTTATATTAATATTAATTTTATCTTTTATACTTTGATTTTATTATTATATCATTGATTATCATTTCTCCTTTTATTTATCATTTATTCTTATTATTCTTTTGTTTTTTTATATTCAATCTATATCATATATTCATATCATTTTCATTTATATTTTATCACTTATTATATGTTATAATAACATAACACATATGATTGAATATATAATAAACATCATGTTTAAATTATACATATAAATAATAAACATAAAAAAGAGTAAAATATTTTTCATTAATAAAATATTGTTAATCATTTTACATCATTAAATTAGACACTTTTTATTGAATATTTCTAATTTTTACAATAAAAATACACTTTTTATTTCTTCTTTTCATATTTTATTACATCTTTGTGATTTATTATTTTTATATTCTTTCTTTTTATATTCTCTGTTTTTTTACTTTTATTCTTTCTTCATCTTCTTCTACTTCTTACTTTCTTTTTATTCTTTTATATCTTTCTCTTCTTTTTTTCTATTATTTGCTTTTTTTCGTTGCTGAAGAAAAAGACATTAAAACAAAAGAAGAAGAAAATAAAAACAAAAACTAAATAAATAAATGAATGATAAATGTAAAAGTTACAAGAATAAGAAATAACAAACAAAGTACAATGAAAATACAAGAAGAAATACAACAAAACAAAGAAATAGAATTTTAATTGAAGTATTGTATTGTTTTGCAATTGATTGGTTAAATAAGAAATTATATAAGAAATTAAGATGGGAACAAATAGAAAGTATAATAAAAATGATAAACATCAATGTCAATAATAAAAAAGAATATATTAAATATATTAAAATGTCACATAAAATAAAAGAAAATACTAAACAATACATTAAAGTGAAAGTAAATGATATAATAGAAGGAAGAGTAGAGTGTAATTCAATAATAAAAAACATCATATTAAAGAATAACTCTACAGAAATTGATGAAGAATACCTTAACACTCTCATCAATAAAGTAAAAGAAATGAAAATAGAAAAATGTACAAACATTAATTACTACTTTCAAAGAAACGAAGCTGACCGATTAATAAAGGAAATTAATAATAGATGGATAATGTCAGGAAGCAGAATGCAGGATTATCTGCAAGATGATATGAAGAGGATTTCAATGATTATGCACCTCTATCTCCAAAATCAAATAATAAGAGATAAATTTGATGAAATAAAAGAAATCCTAAATAAAATAAATAGACTAGAAGATATAATCAAGGGAAATGGTACAGAATAAAGTGCATCATGAAATTAAATGAATATTCTGAAGAAGGAATAAAAGTCAAAGCACTAGAAAGAATAAAGTACCTAAAATATATGATGACTATGATAAAAGAAAGAATTAAATTTAATAAAAATGAAATAGTCAGAATCAATACAAATAAAATCATGTTTGATTCTAACAAGAAAATTAGAATAATGAAGAAATAAAAATGAAATATACCCAAATAACGATATTACTTTAGAATATTGGAAATCGTTATATGAAACACAGGTGATATTAAATATAGAGAAATGGAAAATAAAACAAATCACATCGTGGAATGAAAGATATATCAATTATGATAGTGTCATAATAACATTAAATGAATTAAATTTAAGTATAATGAAAATAAGTAACTGGAAAGCACCAGGAATAGACACTATATAAAAGTAATAAAAGACAAGGTAATGATAAAATATGAATAATAAATAAAAAGAATAAAACTAAACTAATAAATGATATAAGTATTATACCATCATAGCTATGAAGTATGTTTAAATAAATGAATCGATTTACAACCAATACTATAACAATGAAAAAAAAAAAAATAAAACCATTGTAAAATCACTCTAATAATACTAAAAACGTTAATTAAAAGATATATCTACTATTGGATTTTCTTCACATTAAGAAGTGGTTATTTCAATTTCTTCAACATAACCTATTGGAAATAACTCATATAATAACAAATTTAAAATGAATGAAAAAAGTATCATTACTATCCAGGATATTAAAAGTGATTGATAAAAGAAATTAAAAATATAGAAAAAATTATATTGTCATGAAATGATTTTTTATTATCTACTCAGAAATAAAAAATAAGCACAACAGAAGAGAGAAAAATTAGATGATGTTCATCTTCTTAGAATAAGAAATCTCATACATAAACTTTGTTAATAATTAACTACAGTTGGTATTTATTCGCAGACTTGTTTTATTCAATGAGTTGTAAATAAACAAAATTGAATGACAAATTCATTTAAGAGGGATAAAACTGTCAAAAATAAACGACTGGTCAGCCTCATACATTACAACGATTGGATATAATTCAGTTTGAGTTATTCCAACGAAAGCAGGTTTTAACAACACACCATTAATGATAAACCCAATTGCCTTATCTTCCTTTGAATACCAACAAACAACAGAATCTTCCATTGTGATTTCAGAATTGTAGTATTGGTGGTTTGGAGTATTTGGAGTTATCTTTTCAGAATACAAGTTTCCATTATAAATAGACATATAATATCCCATTTTAACCCATTGCTGTCCAACCGGAATAGTATCTGGAGTAGCATAAGTGAAGCCAACATACATAGCATTACAAATTCCTGATTTTCCTGGTGCACCAACCCTAATTGTGTATGCTGAAACTTGTTCAGGAATCATTGCAGTACTGAATTGTTTATGTAATTTGTTTGTAATTGTTGTACCTGAAACTAACATACCTCCATTTGAAACCTTAAATTTAATAGAATCTCTTTTTGGTAAGGAAGAAACAATAAAGTCAATCAATTCCTTTTTGTGTATCTTTTCAATATGAACTTCTCCATTGAAAACCATGTTATTTATTATTGCTTGTGCTGATTTGATTGTTTGTTTCGACAAGACTAAATCAAATATTTTTTTCTCAAATTCTCCACAATCCAAACTTGATTTTTGAAGAACAAAAAGTTGTTCATAGTCTTGAAGATTGATAGATGTACATATTTCTTTGATAGTTAACTCATTATGACTTAATATAAATGCATTAACACATTTTTTCATTGAGAAATAAATATCATCAGAATTAATTCCATATTCCATTAACTCTTTAACAATAGCTTGAATTTCATTGAGACTTTTATCGTTACAAATAACTTCTCCTTCAGTTAGATACATTAACACATATTTAAAAAGTTCCTTACTTCTATTTATTTTAATCTTCTTCTTTTCTATTTTATCTAACTCAGTCTCTTCAGTAACTGTCTTTTCTTCATTTTGAGATTCTTCGTTTTGTTCTTTTATTTCATCTAAACCATCCTCCTTAGGTTCTTGTTTAAAAGAAATATATTTAGCAAAGAAACTATTTTGACAACGATCACTTTGTATAACACTTTCATCAATAGTCCCTTCTCCATCAGTAAATTCAATTGTAATTTCTTTAGGATTAAAACTGCCAAGTGATTTTTGGAATCTTTCTATTTCTTTGAATTTTTCTTCATATTTTTTTAGTCGTTTTTCCATGCTTCTTAATGAAACGTCGATACTGATTAACATATCAGTTTTAATTCTATTAAAATCGTTAACAACTCCCTCTAAAATTTGTTCAATTTTAGAACTTCCATCTTTATGCATTTGAAGAAAACCTTGTAACAATTCATCTAACTGATTTGTTGCAATTACAGTATCTTCAGTTTGTGGGATATTTTGTTTTATATTCTCTACTATTCTTAACTTACTGTTCCCTTCAAGAATCATCATTTCTAAAAATGTCTTTTCATTAACTTTTAATGCCTCTTGAAGATTGTCTAATTTATTGTCAACTTCTTCCCTAATCACAGCAATCTCTTGTCTTTGTCGTTGAATCAATTCACTCTGTTCTTTGCAATTCATTCTTTCTTTTTAAGTTCTCATTATTTTTTAGATTTATTGATATTACAAAACGAACATAAAAACATTTTTATTGTGCAAAATGGTTCAGAACTTAAAAAAATCACTCTTCCTTCAAATTATGAGAAAAGCATTTGTTCAAAAAGAAAACACAAACACTGCCTTTTCAATTAAACATAATACTCCAATGATCAAAAAAATTGAAGTTTGCAATAAAAATTCTTTTGTTCCTTTCCCAAATGAAGAGGTTGAAGATATACCTTATGTAGATTGTGAAGAAATTATCATTCCTGATGATTTGGAAAATGAACGAATATCAAATGTTAGGAATCTCTTATTTCTTAACCCAAGTTTTAGTGATAGTGATGATGACCTTTGGAGTGGTGAACAAACCGATTTTCATTATTCTGATCAATCTTCAGATTCTATCTCGTTAATGTAAATTCCTCAATAGTATAAATAATGTTATATAATACACTTTTATTATGAAGTTTTTTATTGTTAATTTTATTTTATTTCTTAATATTTTATAAAATTCAAAAATATGAAAAATACTTAAAATTATAATAACAATGTCACTTCACCGAATTATTATTCGTGATATTAGAAATAGAAGTCAAAATACTTATGAAGTTTCTCCTCAAATGACCGTTGATGAATTGATTCACAAAATGGACCTACACCCAACATTTGGACTTTCATATCAAAATATTATCTTAGAAACAAATCGACCACTATCTTATTATAATTTTGAAAATGATACGTTATTATATGTATGTCCAACACCTCGTACAAATGTGATTTCTCAAATCTTGCCTGAATTTGCTGAATTATCACAAAGTGGTGATTTGCTCATTCCGTTCATCGAAAATTTGATTAATCAAAATGCAGAAGTTCTTGAAGCACTCCAAACCACTGGTCATCCTGTCAATTTTAGAATCTCAATCCGTTCCAACCAAAATGGTCAACCTACAACAAGAACTTTTCATGTTCAACGACAACCTTCTACTCACACATCACTTCCAGGAACTCAAGTATCAACACGAGTCCAACAAACACAAAATGGAACTCGAATGAATATCCAACGTCAAGATACACAACCACGTCAAAACCTTAATCAACTTTTGAACAATGAAATATTTAGATCAGTGATTAGAAGGTCTCAACAAGAACATTATGAAGAACGGTATGATGTTGACTATAATACAGCAATGGCATTTGTTCAATCTTGGTTAAATGTTACTTCTCAAAATCTTTCAAGGACTCAAACAGTTTTTAATGCATTTGTTAATTTACTAAATAACCCAAGAATTGTTTTATCCCAAAGTACTTTTGGTCAAGTTACTTCTCTTATGAGAACTCTTGCAGACTATCTTAATCATACAGCTTCAGTTATGGAAAATGAATTTTCTCAACGACAGAATGAACACTCTAGAAGAGTTCCAAATGAACAAATAGGAAGCGAATATTTAAGAAGTGAAGTTATTAACCAAGAAGAAGATTTGCTTTGGAGTGCCTTTGAAGAAACACTTACTGAAGAAGCTAGTCTTAACGAAATACAAGTTATGGAAAATTCTATTAATGAAATTAATACATTAAATAATTATATTATAAGAAATAATGAAAATGAAATATTAATAAATGAAGATACTCCTTTAGAACAAATAAATATGATTATTGACCAATTAAAATAAATTATCATTTAAAAATTATTTTGTTAAATTTTTTTTCTTTTATTAACCTTTAAATATATTTAAGAATCTGTCCTTTCATCTATTTTTTTATGTTTTGAAATAAGTCAAGAAATTGGATTTATCATATTTGAACAGAAGATTATATTATTTTGAGTATCCTTCTTTCTATAAGAATTTTAAATAACAATTTACATCTATATTGATAATGATTTTGATTATCATTAATTTTGTTTTAAAAAACAAATAATAATGATAAATTATGTGATAAAAAATTAATTATTTCCAAATACATATATCAATACCAACGACAATACAAAGAATTTGTGATAGTTTAAATAAAGAATACAATGCATCAATGATATATACATAAATGAAATAAAGAAAGATAATCAAAAGAGAGAATATAATTTTTAAATAAGTTAGTTTAGTTAATAAAGAAATGAAAGTAATAAGGAAAAAGAATTAAACAATAATAAAAAAAGAAAATACTAAATTAGTAAAATTATTGTTGAGTACATTCTTGAGGTGCTGGTTGTGTATTAGAATCATCTTGTGATGGTTTTCCGTCAATAATTTGTTTTATTGGTTTTTCGTCATAAGCGTCATCATCTTCATCAAGATCTTCTCCTTCATCATTTAATAATGTTTCATCAAAATAATTTACAGCAGCTGGAATTACTTCATTAATTAATGTAAGTAATGCTTGGAACATATCATGAATAGGTAATGCTTCTTCATCAATTAATCCATCATCATTAATATCATTATTTAATGCTAATTCTTGTGGATAAAATAAATCAAAAAATGATTCAACTTTTGTTTCTTGTTGATTTCTTCCTTTTTTATTTGTTTTTTTTCGTGTAATTTTAAATCGAGGATCTTTTCCTTTAACCCAATCTAATGGTGTAATTGTATTAATTTTTGGTTCTTCAAATTCTCCTTCAATATCTCCTAACTTATATGTAATTTGAATTGTTATTTGATTATTTCTTAAATATGGATTATTACCAAATAAGAAGTTAACATTATATTTAAAAAGTAATGTTGGTGTTCCATCTTTTAATGTACAATCTTCTGTTGAAAAATAATCAGCATTAATATCTTGAAGATAAGTTAATATGATTGAATCTTCTTCATTTCCTGATAACCCATCAAAAATCCCTGAATTCTTTAATACATGAAGCCAAAAACATGGTACTCCATTTTGATATTCTGAACTTTCATTTGCTGGACATTCATTATTTGCTTGATATCCTTGAATTTCTTCATCTGTTAATGGTGCTCCCATAATAATAGCTTTTCTACGTTCATAATATGGTTTGGCTGATTCATTTAATTTAATTTGTGATTCATGTTTTTCTTTTTCTGATGCTATCTTTAATTTTTGATATTCTTTAGCAATATTTTGACACATAGAAATATTTTGATGAACCTCTACGTTAACAAGTTTTAAATAATCTTCATATGTTTCAGCACTTAATAATTCAAAGTAATCACTCATTTAAGGGTTGCTTCCTTTTTCTTTTTAAGTTCTTTTTTCTTCTCATGTCTTAAAAACTATCTAAAAAACTATTATTTTTTATTAAAAATTTTTGAAATTTATGTGTTGTAAAACATCTTTACTTAAATCTTGGATGACTTACTTTTCCAAAGAATAATGGATATTGTTCTTCTCCAATTATTACAAAGAAATATGGTTTATTAATAATAACATCTCTTGGTGGTTCTAATGGTAAACAACATCTCATTAATGCAATTCCTGTAGCTGCTGCTGCGATTGTTCCTTTTTCATCTACTTCAACAACAGCTTTATGAATAGCTTCTGAAACACAAAAATGTCCTTTTGCCATTTTACTAAAATCTGCACGTTCATCAAATGCATTAATTAATCCAAGTTGTTTTAATTGTTGATTCATACTAAAAGATGTTTCAATTTTAAACTTTGGAATAGTAACATTTCTTTTTTCTGAAAACTCTTGAATTGTTCTTCTTACATATTCTTTTAATTCTCCCATATTTTCTTTTTCAAATTCTTTCATATTATTTGGCATAATAATTACCATTGAATATTGATTTCCAACATATGGAATACTAACTGATGTATATTTCTCTGTAAATACTGCTGAACATTCAATTCGTTCTTTCATTACTACAACTTCTTCATCTCCTTCAAATTTCATTTTCTTTTGAACAATTTTAAATGGTGTTTCCCATTCTCCTTTAAAATAAATAGCATTAACAATAACAGCAATGGTATCCCCACTAATTGTTCCTGGTTGAAGAAAATCAACAATTACTTTTCTTGTTGCTTCTTCAACAAATTTATTAATTTCTTGTCTAATGTTTTCTGAATCATTTCCAAAATTCACATTTTTCAATTGACAGTCAAGTGTAGTTATTGCCTTTTTATATTCTTCTGTAAATTCTAACTTTTGTGATGCCCAAATCCCATTAACTATATCAACAGTAACAGACATTGTTGGATCTTGTTGTTTAATGATGCTTTGTAGAAATTTGATAAAATTACGTTCAGGAATAGATGCAAAACCAAACACTTTTTCTAATTGTGTTTTTGTTTCAGCAGCAGCTCCAATGTAAAGTAATGAAAATGCAATAAACATTGAGTGTGTAGAAAAAACAATATCTTCTTTTATTGGTGATGAATTATACCAATCAACACAAAGTTTATAAAGAGCAATTTGCATATTTTCTATATCTTGATAATCCATTGACATGAATATTTATTAAGTTCTTCTTATTGAGTTTAATTCAGTTTATTTGAAGTATTTCTATTTTTATTTTGACTTTTTTGATTATAAAAATAACAAAAAAAAAAAAAACCAAAAATCAATTTATTATGTCATAAAGTTTTTACATATCATTTTCTTCTTTATTCAAATTCTTTGAAATTTTCAGTACAGAATAACTTACTTTTTGGATAAATTGGTAATGGTTCAGTGTACATCTTTATTACTTCATCTGAATCTATATTTAATGGTATATCTCTAATAAATCCATTAGAAACATCATTAAAATCTTGTTGGTCTTCATCTATTTCCATTTCTATTGTATGTTCATCAATACGAGGTGGATTAGTAAATTGAACAATAGGTAAATTAGAATTTCCTACTTCTTCGAGAATTGCCATTACTTTATTTAATATATCTTCAATATAATTTCTACTATTACAATTTTTCATTTGTGGATTTGTAGAAATAGTGATTTTCATATCAGGAACATAATATTCTAAATAATCATTAATTGGAATTTGATCAGGAATATTTAAATCACAAGCTGCTGCTGTTTCATAACACCAACATCTTGCAGTATTAGATACAGTATATCCACCTCCTCCAACAAGAATCATTGGAAGTCCAAATTTTTTAACATATTTCATACAATCACAATGTCCTTGAATTGATAAATTAAAAAATCCTAATCTATCTCCATTTAAACTATCTGCTCCACATTGCATTACAACTACACTTGGTTGAAAAACTTCCATAATTCTATCTATTATTGGATAAAATAATCTGTGATATCCTTCATCATTAATTCCATCTTTTAATGGTACATTAATACTATAATTCTTGCCTTCATCAATTCCAACTTCATCTACATCTCCTGTTCCAGGAAAATAATTATCTCCATATTTATGTAATGAAAATGTCATTACTCTATTTGTAGCTTTAAATGCTTCTTCAACTCCATCTCCATGATGATGATCAATATCAATATAAAGTACTCTTGAATGAACTTTAAGTAATTCTAATATAGCACATACAATATCATTAATATAACAAAACCCTGATGCTTGTGACTTCTTTGCATGATGTAATCCTCCTGACCAATTTACACAAATATCTGCTGCTCTTTCATTAATTTTCATAGCACATCCTAATGAACTTCCTACAACTGTTTGAACAAATGGATATAATCCTTCAAAAACTGGACAATCATCTGTAAAATTAAATTCTTCTAATGACTTTTTAAAATGAGGTTGTAATGCCATTTCTGGTGTAACTCTTTGTAAAAAATCAATATATTCTTTAGAATGGAACATTTCCATTTGTTCATTTGTTGCTCTCCATGGTTTCTATTTTATTAATTTCTTTTTGATTTCTTTTAATAAAGACCAAACATAAATATTTAGTCGTTTGTATATTCCATATTCCATAATTAAGTGATGTACTAATTTATTTCTTAATGGTTTCATTGGATGTCCAAATCCATAATCAAATTCTCCAACATTTTGATCATAGAAATAACACACTCGACTCATAGATTCTTTATTTCTTGTTTTTTAGTTCATTTCCTTTTTTCTCTTCATTTTTCATTACTTCTACCATTTCTTTATTTTACTATTCTTTTAAAAACTCTTTCACTTTCTTTTTTCATTCCTTTAATAAATTCTTTGTGAAAAAGTCAAAACCCTTAAATTTTTATCTTTTCTTCTTTTCTTCTTATCCTCTCCTATTGTCTTGTTGTTTCCTCACACCCTTTCTTCTCGATTTTTCATTCTCAACTCTTGTCTCCATCACTTATTAACTTTTCTATCTCTTCCTTCTCATTTGATAATTTAAATTATGACAATCATTCTCTTCTTTTATTTCTGAATGCACAAAACAACTCAACCAATTGGAAAACAACAAACAAGTAATGAAGTGTAGAATGATAATAATTTACTAAGTAATAAGAAACAAGTGAATATTACGTTTTGATTGATATAAAAGAAGGAGTTTCTAAAATATCATCAGAAGATAAATCGAAGAAGAAATAGAAATAATAATTAAATCACAGGATAATTTATTTGGTAATGAGTGTTAGTCACAATACTACAAGAGATATAAAATAGAAATGAAATGACTTTTAGATAAGACTCATCATTTTCTATCAAAAACATGAAAAAAGAGTCAAAAACATCAGAAGACACTCCTAATAATAAACAATAAACAAAAAAAAAAATAATAATACACTCAATTTGTTAATAATAAATCATTAATTTTTATTTTAACTTTGATTAAAAGAAAATGAAAGATAAAAAATCTAGAGATTGTTATTTGATGAGATAAATGGAAAGAAAGATTTCAATGTGGATTGTTAAGTTAATATAATCTACAAATCTTTATAATAAATTAAACAGTTGTTGATTTTCTTTTGTTGGAGTAATAAGAGTGGCATTATCAACATCAATAAGTTCTTCTTTGTTAAACCATGAAAGTAAAGAAGGTTTTCTTTTCAATTTAATACCTTCACTTTTATATTTTTGTTCAGTCTCAAGAACAAATTGATCAAATGCAGCAGTTTTACTAAACATTTCAATGAATTTTCTTTCTTCTCCAAGGAAGAAATAATCTTTATAAAATTCTTTTACATTATATTCAGTGTTTGTTTCTATCATTGAACGAATTCTTATTTCAATATCTTTAATAAAACAATTCATTAGTTCATTAAAAGCCTTTTTAATTATTATATTTTTATCATCTACTGTTTCAGAGTTTGAATAAATTGGTTTTAATGTATTGTTAATTGAATTTATCCATTTACTTGGAATTAATTCATAGTCAGACTTAATTATTGTTGAGTCAGTACTCTTGATAATTCCTTTATCAATGTCAACAAAAACAATAATATCAAATAAATCTATAATTTCCATAATTGATGGATCTACTCCAATAATAAATGGTGTTGGTGTTTCTGTTAATTCAGTATATTTGATTGGAAGAAATGGAACAAGTAAATGTTGCCATTTTAAAGGTGAAAATATTTCTAATAATGAAACAATAAATTCTGATATTTTTTGTGCTGAATTTGATTGAATAATAATTCTTCTTTCATTTAATATTGATGAAAATAACATCATTAGTTGAGTTATAGGAAGACAAAGTAACGATGAAAGACATCCAGAAGAAGGTTGGTTTATTTGTTGTGGTAAGTGAGAATGAAATGAAAATAAAGGATAATTTAATTGGTTTAATGTTGGTAGTGGAATTAAATGATGGAGTGAAGATAAGAACAAAACTCTTTGAGGTGAAGGGAGTTGAATGAGATGAAGGAGAATATTTATGAATAATGACCAATGGAGATACTGTGAAGTAAGAATAAATGTACATTCATCTGTTTGTTTTACATAACAAAACATTTGTTGTTGAGAATCTATACAAAGAAATGAACTATGAAGATAAGATGGTGCAATAGGAAAAAAGAATCTAAAGAAATTTTTATCTATTTGGTGTTTAAAAGGAAAACTTTGAATAGGAAGTTCTGTGTGATTGTCAATTTCAAAGAATGAGACCACCAATGGATATTCTTGATTCATTAATTTCTATAAAATGAAAACTTAGTTTTTTTTTGTTTTTTAATTTATGTTTTTTTTTCTTTTCTTTTCTTTCATTTAATTTTGAATTTTTAAATTTAATTATTACTTCATAAATTATTCTAAATTATATTACTTTTATGTAATTTATTTCTTATTCAATTTTATTGAAATATAGAGTTTATTTAATAATGAACTATTAATTATTCTTGAAACTAATACATTTGAAGATTTTTATTGAATATTTTTCTTTTTTCATATCGTTATTATTATCATTTTCTTTTTCTTCATTTATCTTGTGTATTTTTATATTTTTACAATAATAGTTGTAAGAATAGACACATTATTTTTATTAATTTACACTCTTATTGAGTTTGTTAATAATTAAACTCATATATTTTTTAACTTATCTTTACTAACGCAATATCCCTGTGTTGTGTTTATGAAAAACAATCAAATTTCATTTAAGGATTTGTTTTATATTAGATAAAGTTGATTTTATTGGATTTTATTTGTATTTGTTTCTTTCAGTCTATCCACCACATCAAACAATTGTTAGAACAAAATAATCTTATTCAAATGGCATTGCTACAATACTGCGGTTAATGATGACATATTAAAATGTTTTATGAATTATTTAAGTCTTTCTGAAAATATTAATTTAAAGAACTTATACAGTTAGTATTGACAATTTCACTTTTTATCTTCATCAATTTCTATGTTATACAAGAAATTATTAAAATAAATTATAATAGTTTAATCAATTAAACACACTTAAAGAATTTCTTACAATAATTAATGATAGAGATGGAGAAATATCACTATTAATTACCAATAATTTCTAACAGAATGTTTGATTTGAGAGAAAGAAGTATTGATATACTATTCTTTCTATATAGTAATATAAAAATTGGTAATTTGTAAATATAACACTGATTATTGTTTTTGAACCATATTTATATGAGTATTATGTGTTTCTATGAAATGATCAAATATATCATCTACATTAGTTTCATTCAATGAAAGTAATTCAATAATATTATATGAACAAATTTCTTCATATATTTCATATTCTTGTTCTGTTGTATTTATCTCTGATTCTTTTTATTAATTTCTAATAAATCAATTTCAATTTCATCAAGAACAATATAGTGTTTAGGTTTATATGTCTTTAGTTCTGACAACCAATAACTTTGAAGACTTTTTAATAATTCTTGACTGTCAATAGAATAACACAATAAAAACACACAAGTGTATCGATATAATGAATGTTTATCTTATAATTCTCTCATCATTTTGTACCAAATAAACATTTTATAGGTGATATTTTTATTGAATAATAGCATTAAAACTGCTAGTTAATGTTGGGAGACAATACGTTAGATATTCTTTATTTACAAATATATTCAATAGATGCATTTTCCAATTGTATTATCATCAGCAGCATGTTTTATTTTATTCACTACAAATCATCAATGATTAGTTATCTCATTCTTTAACTGTGATATTTTCCTATTCTTACTTTTATCTTTTAGACTTTCATCAATATTTTTTATTAAACACTTTAAGTTATTAATGTAAAGAATAATGTGATGAATATTTTATTGAGTTGTTTACTCATATTAGTTTTGAATGATAATAGAATTGTTATTATAATTGGTTCAATTACTTCATTATTGAAGAATCTGATTTATAATTTATTTATCCTTATTAAATAAACCATAATTATAAAAATACATATAATAACATTACAATCATGAAATGATTAATAGAAATGGTGTATGATTAGATTAACTCATAATGGTAAAGAAAAGTTCTCAATTTAATATTAAAATTGTTATTTGTTGCATTGATTCTATGAATAGATGATAGGAGTTTGAAGTGAAACAAATGATAAAATGAAAGAAGATGATATTATATTAAACAAATGGTGTTTTAATTATGATTAATAAGTTAATTTATGAATTAGAATTTGCAAATGTTGTTTTTATGTTATAATGTAGTTAGTAGATAAGACATAATTTAAAATGTTTTAATAGAGTGTAAAAGGAAGAAAATGTATGAAAAATATAATCATATTTTAGAATAATCATATTAAAGTCTTAAAATACATAAAGTATCAACAAATCATTTATTAAGAATAAGTTATTGATGTTATTAAACTTTCATTAGATTAGTAGAATAATTTATTTGAAAACGAAGATTTGAATAACTTCAATTCTAATTTATTTTAGAAACAGTATTGTTCATAATAATTTATCAGCGACACAGTCAATACTATGTAAGCAACATTGGTTCTTTTAATTAAAAATTTTATATCATCTAAATTTTCAATTAAATGGTTGTTATTTTAATTCATTAATGGCAATGTATAATAAAAAATTACTAATTATTATCTATTCTAATTTTAAATGAATTTAAGGTTTCATTCTTTAACCTTTCTTTTTCAAATTTCATTCATTAGATTAATTTAAGTGATTTGATGTAAACTTAGTTCAAATTGCATAACTCGATTTATAACTAAATCATTCTTCCTACTGATATTTTTTTTCAAAATTTAAAAGTGTTAATTGATTGCACAATGTCAATGTTTCTAAGAGAAGAATATAATTCTTTCGTATTTTCATCTTTTTAATACCTATTTTATCTTTTTACTCAATATTAAATGTTTATTCACGTTTTATATTACATGAGAATATCTAAGAATAAATACAATATTTGTGTAATTAGAATGAAGTAAATAGAAACAATGAAATTAAGAATGTTTAATGTGAAAATATAAAACAATACCATTCTTCATTTTTATAATTCAATTAATAACAAAACAACGCTAATACGACTATATTAAATGATAATGAATATAACCAAATTTACTATCATTATTATTCATTCAAATTATCTAATTCATTTGTTATTTAAACAATAAATAATATTCAAAATAAATAACAATAAATATTTGGTTTTTA